TTTTCAGTCCACAGTCTCGACAGTAATTCCGGTGAACATTTAGCGGTCAGATAGAATGCCTCATTTGCATGCACGATTGACGTGCAATTCGTTGTGAGTTGAGGGTGTACAAGAGATAAATTGTTCCGTGAGCACGGTGATACCATAAAAGCGCAATCGTACAAGATCATTTACGATTTCTAAGAGTGTATACACACGGAGGGGTGGAAGTGTGGGTAAAAGATAGTATCAAAACCTACGATGGAACTCTGAGAGAAATAGTTAAATTGTGGGATAAGTCTCAGTTTGACTGATATACTACTTATGAAACAGAACGGGAAATTTTTAACGCTATGCCTAACATAGTCTCCATGGTAACAATCTTTCTAAAACGCCCTTTTTTATCTATAAAGCCGTAAAAATGGTTTCGATAAGTGACAATGAGCGGCTAAAAACGAACTTATTGCAAGTCTTCTTAACTTAATGCAGTGCCGTAAAATCGCCTTTTGTTGTTGTCTGAAAGATAAAAAACCCTTAACTGCTGTTGCATTCTTCGTGTCAGGTGAATTAAACAGGAGTGTTTGTGTCTGCGGAGCAGCAGGATTTTGAGAGACGCCTCCATGTTGGCACTATTGATGCGAAGTGTGTTATTACTACGACATCAGAGGTGGCCACATTGGATTAAGCAAGCCTTTCACTCGAGAAATTATCTACTCACGGCGTAAAGGTATGTCTTCGCATTCCTGATTCTGCTCTATCCACATGGTGGGGAAGATTTAGGAATTCCCGCAGTTTTCAGTCAGCTGACCCATCTACTGTTCAGTGGGTTAGAATAGGCTTTACTCCAACCGGAGAATTCAGTAGAGCCGTTTTCCTTTTTATATTTGTTTATTTTTGTTTCACTGTCTCCTTCTGTGTTCGTGGTTACTTCCACAGACCTTTTCAGCTCAAAATGATACCCGAGACGCAAAAGATGCATAATGTTGATAGAAAGGGGATGCATGATATCACTGTCTCTTTACTACCGAGCGTATTGTCATAAAATTCACCCATGGTAAGCGGTCACAGCTACCGGAATATAAATTGCAGAAATACATCATGGAGTTCTCCTGGCAGTTGGAAGTAGATAGGGGTGCGTTTAAAACACATTGTAACACGACCATATTTGCATGCAATTAAGATTATGAAATGCATATTCTTTGCAATGTTGGGCTTTTACTTGCCAATTTTTGACGAGAAAGGCAATTCTTTCTCAGGTCTTCCAAGTTAGTCCTACTGCAGCTAGGATGGCATTCGGAGCAGTCTGTGTTAAGTAGCGATAGATTGCCATACCGGGTGAAACAAGCTAAAATTTCTATGTATTTCATGTCATCAATACATCGCT